GATTGATAATAAAAAAAAGTCGGATATCCATTGTATATTAATCATGCCGCAAAAAGTCTGGTATTAAATGTGAAAGTAAATGCCAAAGTGTGTGAAAATAACAAATTCAAAGTATTAAAACAATTGTGGATTATTTTAATTATAGAGTATTTTGTTATTTTCTTCAATCATGTAAATCATGTATCAATTCGGCAGCGACAATTCAATTCTGCAATTATTAACGTTAACCCTAGAACTATTGTGTCTCTACGTAATAGTAAGCGCAGCTCGATTATGTCTTATTATGGGCTGATCAGCACACGTGTGAACATTATTGTTTCACAATGGAAAATAGGAATTATAAATAACACTCACACGGTACGCAATCTGTTTATTGTTTATCTAACTTGTTTTTGATTAACTAACTGTTATTTCGAATATGTCGGCAATAGATAGACTACAAAAATGTTTACAAGAACTTGCGGATTGTCGTCAGAGGATAATACAAAATGTTAAAAGTAATCTTTTCTTTGACAGTGCTAGCGAGGCTATTCGATATTGCGAAGATATTGAACAAATAACTTTAAATGATATTGACGTTCAAGAACTTGGTAATTTTTAATATTATTCGAATGTTATATGTAAAAAAAGATTATTATGTTATTTATTTGTCGAATTTTTTTATTAGGTCTCGCGTCAAAATTTTTATTTGACCCGAGAACGGGAATAATTAAATTTTTAGTAGACACTGCCCAAATAATTGATTCTACACTTTCGAAAGCAAAGATTGCTCTTTTAGAATTTCTATTTCTTTATATCCAAAAAGTAAGATCCGATATAGAACCGTATTCAATCAAAATTAAGGTACGTAAAAAAACCATTATTATTATTATTTTTTTTTTATCATTCTAGATATAATTCCTAATATATTGTTTAATAGGACGCGTGTTTCACACTTCAAAATAATGACGAGGCTATTGTACGAGCTGCTTCTTTTAAACCAATGGTTGCAATGTTAGATTCAACTGTACGAATAATTGATCCTAAAAAAATGCATATGGAAGATATACTTCATCGGTAGCTACCTTTATTGTTTTCTTTAAAAAGCTTATCATAATAGAAATTTTAATAATAATATCTTAACAATATTATATTGTTTATTAGATATCTAGATTATATTTTCGTTCAGAGTAAAATGCAACAAAGTGTTAAAGGTTTATATTTGTACATTGTTATTTTATTATATGTTATTTTCTAGTGTAATTGATTATATATGTCTTGTCATTGATATAGTCATGGCGGAAATTCTTACCACATTGGGAATAATCGCATATAGATTTCCTGAACATTCTGAAAAAGAACGGGATAAAATTTTACGTGTTTTCTTAAACAAGTTAAAAGATCCGAATCATTCAAATTCAGCATTTAAAGGCTTGCATTATTTTTTATTTAGTTTTCCTGATTCATTGCAAAAAGGTTTGCTCGAGTTTATGATGTTGATATATATATATATTT